AGCTAATTCCCTGAGGCCAGCCTGCCCTAATCCCGAGAAAACGTTTGTCCTGCCCAGTAAACACATTGCTGTCCATGGCAACGATCCGGTTCATAAGTGAGGAAAATGTGACCACAGCTTCCAAGTAGGGACGGGAGGAGCCAGGGCAGGGGCAGTGTCTGCCCACAGAGAGGCTCCCTGGCATTGGCTCAGTCTCCCTTTAACAGCCTTAAATGTGGAGACGCACAGCATTAATAAAAGGCAAAAATGAAGATTGGTTAGCCTCCCGCCTGGAGTCTCGGGAGGAGATGACTCTGGGCAGCCGTGTTAGCTAAGGAGCTGTGGTTCCACCTTACACACCGTATTCCGTAGTAACTTTTGGGTAGAAATTCATCTTCAAGAGCACATTCTAAATTCTCTGTCAGCCCAGGAAGGGCACTTCAGAGCCTGTAAGACTGCCAGGGACCCCGAAAGGCAGTCATTGTGTTGCCTTTGGAATTGTCGGTCATTGATCATGGCTGTGACCCTCCTGCCCCTAGACCCTGCCCACAATGCGGTACCAGGGCTGCCCAGGGCTGACCTCTGCTCTAGAGTTGGAAACTAATTTAAGACGTGCACTTAAAACCTGCATAAAAGGTGTCCCTCTAGAGGTTCTCCAGCTGTGTTTTCTGGTTATCCCTGGAGTCTGAGGTGGTCTGCGGATGAGTGTTCACCACCATTTAAACATGGGGATGTGCCTCCCAGAACTGTTCTGAACCGGAGCCTGGCAAATGATCCACATGAAGTACACTCTCCTATTTCCCTCGTCTCCCCGTGTAATGTCACCTCACAGACCACATGTGAATCCACTCCCTCCTGTGCGGTTAAGTGCTATTGAGTTGGTTCCGGCTCATAGTAACCCTTTATAGGGTTTCCAAGAAGCGGCTGGTAGGTTTGAACCGCTGACCTTGTTGGTAGCAGTCCGGTGCTTATCCTACAGTGCTACGTCAGGACTAGAGTCATTTTCAAATGGTGTAGTGCTGGGGGAAACCTTCCTACAGTAATGGGACACACATCCATTATTTTTTCTCAGGTACACACACAGCAATGGAGAATACTGATTTGGTTGGTCCCTGCTGGAAGCTGGGGCCTGGGTGAATGCGTTGGGGGTCGTCACTGGTGCATTTATCCGGAATCACCGACTAGCTAGGGGGTAATATGCTCCCACCTCCCTCCTAGTGCTCTAGCCCCTCCCCCGGCCCCCCAGTGAGTCTCAGGCGATGATAGTGGCAGATAACACCCATGGCAGCCATCCCTGTGGTGGCCGACACAGCTTCTACTTAAAAACAGAGGAACCCCTCTCCTCTTTTCTTGAGTCCACCTACCTAAGCGACTAGACTTGGGTTTAAAACTTAATTTCCAATATCAGTCTTCATCCTGCCCAGCCCTGAACCAGAAACCCGGGGTGGGGTAGGAAGCATCTTCCCCTTGCAGTGGGAAGATGAGGGGATGGATGGGGAAGGTGAAAGGTGTTCATAGAGGGTTATTTTGTTGTTGTTGTTTTGCCATAGTGCTGGGGTTATGAACATTTAGGGGGTCCCGGATCCTTACTCCCAAACCCTGGCTCAATTTCAGAGATTTACAGACCCGTCGGGGCTCTGCCTGACCCAGCTCTATATCCTCAGATGTGATGGAAAGGCACTGCCTTGGTCCTGCACATCCAAGCCTCAGTTTCCTCATCTGCCAAGCCCTGGAGGATTCCCAGGTAGCTCTGGCTCTGACATTGTGTGCGTATGACTCAGCTTCCAAACTGGTTCCTTCTTCCGTGGTTGCAGAAACCCTGGCAACCAACGTGTTACCCCCTACCTGGCCTTCCAGCAGGGGAGGGGACAGCCTCGCACCCCTGCCTGCACCCTGAGGCTTGGCAGCCAAGGTGTGGACACCAGCTTGGGCACCCTTCTTCTACCGGCCCTGGGGAGAAGGAATGGTGGGAGCCCACCACTCCCCATCCTGCCCTCAAGGTTCCGATGCACTGGGACTTTGAAAGGCGTAAAGTGAATGTTCAGCCACGGCCCCACCAGCAGTCCAAGACTCGGCCCTCTGTCCCTGGAGCCGGAAGCCAGCTTCCCAAAGGGCTTTCCATATGCCATGGGACAATAGTACTGACCCTGGGTGGCCTTGGCCTTCCAGGCTCTCTTGCCACTTAAGGTCGAGGGGTTTTCAGAAAAGAAAACCAGGGTGGCCTTGGACAAACCACCTAACCTTTCTGGAGCTGTCTCTTGACTTGTATAAAGGGGAGACTGTGAGGTTTGCATGAATGAACACACAGTGCGCGCACCTACTCAGCCTCCCCAACAGCTAGGTTCAGCGTTCGCGTTTTGAATGGACTGAATTCCACCGCACACACCCCACCCCAGCTCAGTTTTCAAGCCCGGAGGATTCAAATAGTCCAGAACACTCGGGATCCACGTGCCGGTGAAGATGGGAGCTCGGAGAGGGGAACAGGGTACAGGATGCCGTGATCCGTGTGGACCCCAGACCCCGACGCGAATCGCAGAGTGCCGACCCCAGGATCTGTCAGAGTGCCGATCTGTCAGTGGGACCTGGGGCACCCACCCTAGACCCGGAACGTGGACCCCAGACCTGGGCATGGACCCCAGACCCTAGGAGTGGACTCCAGACCCGGGACACCAATCCTAGACCCGCCCAAGCACTGACCCCAGACCCGGAGCATGGACCTCAGACCCGCTCGAGAGCAGACCACAGACCCAGAGCACCCACCCCAGATCTGGGGCGCAGAGCCCAGACCCGGGTCGCCCACCCTAGACCCAGAACGTGGACACAGACCCAGGGCGCCGACCCCACACTCGGAGAGTGGACCCCAGACCCGCTCCAACGCCGACCCCAGACCCGAGGCGCCCACCCCGGATCTGGGGCGCAAAGCCCAGAGCCGGATCGCCCACCCCAGACCCACACTGGACGTGGACCTTCGACCGTGCCCCACCGGCGCTTACGTAAGTGCGAGTCAGGCAGCGGAAGCGTCTGCCCTGGACCCGGCCGCATCTCCGGCCCCACTCACCGAGGCGCCCGCGTCCGGTTCTGCCACCGTCCGTCCGTCTGTCCGCCCGGCAGCGTCTCGGTGGCGCCCGCAGCTGCTCCCGCGAACGCCGCTGTCACATAGTGGAAAACGTGACCGCGCGTGCCGGCCCGTCCCCCACCCGCCATTGGCCGCGGCGCCGCCTCATCTGCATACCGGGGTCCGGGGGCCGGGTCGGCGAACCGTGCGCGCCTATTGGCTGAGGCGCCTGCCGCTCTTTTTACATAAGACGCACATGGAAATCCATGTTCATCACGACTGTTCTCAATGAAGACACGGTGTGCTCGAACGCCCCTCTGCGCCGTCCCTAGTGGTCTCTTCCACTTCCGGCCCGGTGCCTTCTATTCACGACGCCGCCGGTCGGACAGACCGGGCCGCGCCGAGTGGCGAGTACCACTGCGGGGCGGGGGCGCCCGGATACAGTCCCTCCCGGAAAGGCCACCACCTCGGGGCTAGCCAGAGGCGTGCGGGAGCCGGCCAGCGGAGTCGTCCTTTGAAAACCCCACTTTCGCTCCTTTCCATTCATTCACGCGTTCCCATTCATTCACGCGTTCCCACGCATTCTCCTTACCATCCATTCACTGGTTCCCACAAATTCCCATTTGCACTCCCTCACTCGTTCCCACTCAGTCATTCTCACCCATTCACTTATTCCCATCCCCTCACTCATTCCCACTCGTTCCCACCCCCTCGCTCTTTCTCTTTCACTTAGTCATCCCCACTCATTCATAGACTTGCTCCCATCCATTCATTCCCTCCTTCCCACTCCTTCCCACGTTCGCGCCACTCCTTCATTTATTTGCTCCTTCTCTTCATCCTGTTGGGAGTCTTGGTGTGGTGCTGTAGTGTCAGCGCCCGACTACTAGCCATAAGGTCAGCGGTTCAACGCCCCCAGCCACTCCTTGGAAAGTTTAGACAGCGTCGCTGTGGAACCGACCCCTCCTTCATCACTTTGCCCAGGCAGAGGGAGGTTCTGAGCCGCACACGCTCCAGGTGCATGTCCGCCCACCACCAAGGTGCCCATGCTTGACATTTGATCCAGATTCCCGTGTGGTCTATGTCTAAATGTCTTGTTTTTGAGCACATGCATTACACATTTTGGTTCAGGAAATAGGGTTACTGTTACCATGGGGAAGCATAATAAACGAATGAATGATGCTTTTCCTGCACCAACTGCGTTGTCAGGGAAGCAAGGCCGGTTTGTGAAAAGGAAAACATAAATGTTAAACTGGTCAGTGTAGGTTTTAAATCAAAGAGGGCCAGAGTTATTTCCAGAGGCTTCCCAGAGCAGGCAACGCTGAAGGGGGCGGGGGTATCTGGGAAAGGGGAACTTAAAGGAGGGGGTGACTTCCAGAGACACTGACTGGGTGGGGGCAGTGCTGAGGCATTTGTTCTGTTGGTAGTCTATGGATAGCCCTCTCTCTGAAACTTCTGGAGACCTGCCCCTCAGATGGGGTAGAGGGTCCAGGCTTGGGGGCACAGGAGATGCGTTGCCATTTCCTGGGCAGCACATTGCCTGCAGAGACAGACTCTGAAGAAGCAGGTTCTGAGGGGGAAGGCAGGCAAAAGGGACCCCCGGAATTTCCACAAAAGCCAGCACTGCTGCCTCGCCCTCTTGGTTCTTCCCTGAGCTCTTGGGGGCACAGCAGGGATGGAGCATCCTTTAAGTGAGGTAAGCACAACTTGATTTACGCTTACTAATCTGTGGTGAACAGTTGCACGTTTTCCAGTGCATAAAAGAGTAGTAAGTAAACTATCGGCCTGAGCGGCCATCTTGCAGTAATTCACCAAGATGGTGAACACACAGGAAAGAGGCGGGGGCACCAGCTTGATGTTTTCCAGGCCTTTGAGAAAACATGGGGTGGTTCCTTTGGCCACATACATGTGACTCTACAAGAAAGGCGATATTGTGGACATCAAGGAAATGGGCAGAGTTCAAAAAGGCATGCCCCACAAATGTTACCACAGCAAAATCCGACGAGTCTCCATTGTGACCCAGCATGCTGTTGGCATTGTTGTGAACAAGCAAGTCAAGGGCAAGAATCTTGCCAAGAGAATTAATGTGCGCATTGAGCAAATTCAGCACTTTAAGAGCAGAGATCGCTTCCTGAAGCAAGTGAAGGAAAATGATCAGAAAATAGAAGGAAGCCAAAGAGAAAGGGAACTGGGTTTAGTTAAAACGCCAGCCTGCTGCCCTCAGAGAGGCGCACTTTGTGAGAACCAATGGAGAGGAGCCTGAGCTGCTAGAACCGATTTCCTATGAATTCATGGCCTAACAGGAGTGAAAAAAAGATGTCTGAGGTGTACAAAAAAAAAAAAAAAGAGTAGTAAGTAAGCACAAGTAAGTAAGCCCATGCTTACCTCGCTTTCAAAGTACTCTACCCCTGGATCAGGCATGGGGAGGAGGAAACATCACCAAGGGACCTGAAGGCTAACAAGCAGCTGGTTCCCAGGCTAGCCTACATTTAGGGATCTTGTCTGGAAACCCCTACCCTTCCTGTCCTTGACAATGTCTCTAGAACCAGACCCCAGGGGCAACCCTCTGCAATGCACCCTGGGAGGCCTGCAGTCCTCTCTGTGGTTGGGGCCCCTCCACAGTGACACCTCCCCACACTCCACCCTTTGGCTCCAACACACCCACAGCACCAGCCAAGTCCAGGCCTGGATGTGCCAGCATGCCCCCTAAGGCCCTTTTGTTTCCTCCGGCCTTGACGTCAATGCTGAGCCCATTGTTCTGGAAACAGCAGCAAACGCGGCTCACCCGTGGCGCTCAGAGCTTCTCCTGCGTGCCCAGCTTTTCCTGGGTCTTGCTCCACGTTCAGCCTGCTGCCGGATGCCACATTTCCTCCTGAAACTTAGCCTTTTCTATTCCACCTGTCGATCTGATAGAAAGATGTTGAAATAACTCCTTTTAGAAATCATCAAACACTATGGGCTCCTAGAACTCTTTGGACTAGAATCCATTGTCAGTGTCTGACAGGCAGTTTTTTTCTTGGTATGGGAAGCTTTCCTTTAGACCACAGATATTTGTTGACACCTGAGTACTAACTAGGTGGCGGGCGTGGGGTAGGGTGAGGTAGAAGGGGTGGTAAGGTGATCCCCAGGCGATTTTGCTCTAAGGTGGGGTGTAAGTCCCTGGTTGTAGGGACATAGTGCAAACGCTCAGAAATGGCTATGCAAATGTCAACTCAAACCACACCTCCTATTCCTGTACATACTGAAACTATTTGTTCTCATACTTTAGTTACCTATGCTGGGACGGAGGAGCAGACAGGCCCCGCCTCCTGCTTGGTCTCCAGGGAAGGGCAGGTAATCCAGCACCTTGTAGTTTTCCTAACTTTTTCATATTCCACATCCACCCTTAACTGCCCTGTTGCATGGAGCTTGTATACCCCATGATGTAAAAAGACCCTAGCCCATGCCCTGCATGTGGAATCTCGACTGTCTAGCCGGTCGCCACTAGAGACAGCCGCTGTTCGCATCCTGGTCAGCAAGCTTCTCTGTTAGTAAATTATTTCTTGGTTTTCTAAAATAAACTAATGTCTCTTCAACTGATTCCTGGTCACTTTAGTGATCTCTCAGCAACCACGTATGTAGAAGCATTCTCCCTTCTGGGTTTAAACCCAAACACTGGTTAACAGGCTAGACCAATACTTACTGCTGCCGTATCAGGTCCAGCTTAGGACCCTAAAGAACAGAGCAGAGCTGTGACATAAGGGTTCCAAGGCTGTAAATCTTTATGGAAGCCTGAGGAGCAGCTTGTGGATTCAAACCGCTCACATTTCAGTTAGCAGCCCAACATTTAACGCATTGCATCACCTGCAAAAGCTTCCATCCTGGTCCCCACAGAGGCAAAAGCTGTGGAGTGCACATCCCCAGGGGCAGGGTCAAGTTAGTGAGGCTGTGTGTGAGTATGTGTAAATGTATGTGCGTTTATTTCTGTGTGAGTGTGTCTGTATGTGAATTTCTGTGTGAGTGTTTATGCATGACATAGTATGTGTATATCTGTGTGTGTGTGTGTGTGTATGTATGAGTTTGTGTGTGTGATGAGAGTATGTGTGTGCATGCGAGAGTGTTGTGAGGGTGTGTATGTGTGAGAGTGTGTGAGTGAGTGTGTTTCTGTGTGCGGGTGTGTGAGTGTGTGTGACAAAGATGGGATGTGACTGAAGGGTTGAAAACAGCTGGGATCCTAAAGAGAAGATTGACAGACGATGTCCAAACTGAAAACCTGCAGAGGAACATGTTGTTTAGCGACATGGGAGGAAAGCCCCAAAGAACCGACTGAAATCACCCAAGTATTTGCCTCCAGAGAGAAGTGGTGGAGGCAGCCAGCTGTGGGAGGACTCTGGCTGGTAAAAGGCCTGAAGTGTCCGTCAGCCGCATGGTCCTGTGCTGTCTGTCCAAGGCCCTTGGCTCTGAAGACCAGCTGATGACCCTCGGGTCTGGGAGAGGAATGAGCCTCCTGGCCTGGACAGGACGAGGCGTGTAGTCAATGGGATCCCCTCCGACTTGGTGTCTTCATTCTCTCACCACTGGATGCCTTTAACAAGCAGAGGTTTATGTTCTCACAGTTTAGGAGGCCAGAAGCACTGACTCTGGGAAAAGGTCCCATCTCCTTTCCGCATCTGTAGGCCCAGCCATCCGTGGAGATCTAGCTCCATGTGGGTTAGGATCACTCTTTCTCTGGCTCTAGGAACTTCCCAGGGCAGGGACACCAGGTCCTAAGGATGCACTGCACTCCCAACTCTCCCTTCTGTGGGAGTAGTAGGTCCTTTTATATCTCAAACAAGATTGACTCAGGATCCAACCTAATCCTGTAGGTTATGTCTAGTGTCATTACCATTATAGAAGGGCAATCACATCAGATCACATCATGAGGATGATTGCATATCATTAGAACAAGTCACAGCGGTGGTAACTACATCTTAACTGCTAAACCACTGGGAATCTTGACCCAGCCAAGTTGATAGAAAACCTTAACTATCACACATGGGATCACCCCAGACGGGCATCACCTCAGACATGGGGATGACCTTAGCCATGAGGATGACCTCAGACATGGGGATGATCTCAGCCATGGAGATGACCTAACACATGGGGATGACCTCAGCCATGGAGATGACCTAACACATGGGGATGACCTCAGCCATGGAGATGACCTAACACATGGGGATGATCTCAGATATCCAGATCACCTTGGACGTAGAGATGTTCTCAGAAATGGGGTCCTCACTTATAAGCTGCTTTTCCTTGGGTCCCTCCAAAACTACACAGGATAGCAGTGGCCCAGAGGCTCCAAGATGGAGTTCAAGCTGTCAGAGACCAGAAAACACGGCCTATGACTCAGCCCTGAAGGTTCTGAGGTCAAGACCTGATGAACAATCAAAACCATGAGCCTACACTACCCGCCCCCCACCCCCCTGTTGCTAAGGTGCACGCCTTTCTGTTAAGTCTTTGGCTTTTCTCTAACAGCCTCGTGACCAAGAAGTTTGAACTACTAATCCTTTCTCAAGTGACATCACAGCAAATGGCTTTTCTGGACTGTGGTTAAAGTTATGCCTTTTATTTGCAAAAATGATCATAAGAGTTGTCAGTTGGGCATACATTAGATAGCGGATTCCTTTAGCTATGGGGCGGTGGCCTACAGCACAAAGATGCTGGGCTCTGTGGCAGTGGTTTTGAAGTCCATGGACTCTATTTTAAGATATAAAATGAAACAAGCAAACCTATGTAGAAACAAAGCTATGGCAATTTAAATGATTTGCCAGTCTACAAAACATAGAATCGACTTATTGAGAAGAGGTATTTTAAAATAATATTCACCATGGATTAAGAACTCTGGTAGCGTAGTGGTTACAAATCGGGCTGCGAACCTTAAAGTCAGCGGTTCAAAACTACCAGCCGCTCCGTGGGAGAAAGATGAGGCTTTCTACTCCTGTAAAGAATTACACCCTCGGAAACCCTGTACAGGGTCGCTATGGGTGGGAACCGACTCGACGACACTTCACAACCACAACAACATTCCTTTATGACAAAACCAAAAAGCTTTCAGCAAATTATTGTTGTGGTAGTTAAGTGCCATTGAGTCAGTTCCAACTCAGCAATCCTGTATAGGGTTTCTGACAACTGGTTGGTGGGTTTGAACTACTGACTTTGTGGTTAGCAGTCCAGTGCTTATCCTACAGCACCATACCAGGACTCCAAACTATAGTAGAAAGAATGTCTTTCAAGAAAGGACATTTATAAAAATGAAATGCCTAAAGCTAATGTCATTCATAGTGGTGGCATATTGAAGACATCCCCCCTCAGACTGGGAGCAAAGTGAGATTGTCCTCACTCACCACTTCTATGTGACCTGTACTGGGAGGTCATTGTCCCTTATGGGGCAGGCCTAGTGCTGTCATGTTGAGGGTGTCTTTTGCAAAGGGGTGATGGAGGCCTGGTCACCAACACTGCAGGCAAAGGTGAGTCAGTCTCTTTTCATCATCTCTTCTCCAGGGTGAGAAGAAAGGGGAGCTGAACTTTCAGGTCCCTGGGTAAGCCATAGGAGTACACACACACACACACACACACACACACACACACATACATACACACTCATTCACACATTCCTCCCCTGCCTCCCCCAAACAAAGGAAAGGCTATATTTAGCTTACAAACAAAACCCACTGCCTTCAACTTGGTTTCCACTCAGTGACCCAATAGGACAAAGTAGAAATTCTCCATACCATTTCCAGGTTTGCATATCTTCCTCTCAAGAGCCTCTGGTGGGTTTGAACTTCTGACCTTTCAGTTAGCAGCCCAAGGGGAGCCCTGCTAAGCCACCAGGCTCTGGGCAGCTTGTAAGAACAGAAATGTATGTCTCACAATTCTGGAGGCACGAGGTCTGAATTCAGGGTAAAGTCAGTGCATGCCCTCTCCTAAGTCTCCAAGGGAAGAGCTCTTCCAATTTTTGGTGGCCCCAGGCGTTCCTTTAATTGTCCATATATACCCACACGGTCATCTTCCCTCTCTTCCTCCCTGTCTCTGTGTCCCCTCTCCTCTTCCAGAAGCCAGTACTCAGACTTAACTAGGACCCATACTGTTTCAGTACAACCTCATGCTTCCTTAACTGAG